TGAAGCGAATCGTGGATCAGAGGGGAATTTTGCCCGCAAAGTCTGCCATTCAGCATGACAGTGCAGCCAACCCAGTCCAAAGAGGTCGAGCCAAAGCTCACGCAATCGAGTTAGGTGGCTCTCCCTTTGCATTGGTGTAGCCCAGACATTGCTCCTTCTAACAGCTAGTTACCTCCCGTACTTAAAGGCACGGTCCGCGATAAAATAAGGCTAAGTGCTCTCAAATGTGTACGACGAACAGGCAGGTACCCGCAGACGCTGTACTGGCTGCAAAAGTCGAAAACTAGCAAGTAGAGCGCAAAGCGCAAAGGTTTTAGGCCCATTGGCGCCCAATAGGCCCATGCCGACCTCCGATACCCGTGTCATCGTGACGATGCCATTGTGCTCTCTCGCCCGCCGTTTTCTGGTCTCTCTCCTCTCATCACAGTGTATCGTCGTCCTTTGCAATTCACAATCGATCTTGACCATCTTATGCTCGTCCGGTGATCACGATCCATTGCAATAAAGAGGGTCTTATTGCGGGCGGTTTTTCGAACTTCCCTATTCTTCAGTAGGTCAACAAGCGCACGGCAATTCTATTTTTGAACTGTATTACCTATGAAGTGCGGTCGCGGGAATTGCCTTTAAAGCATGAGACGTTGCCATTTTTGCTGCCCATAAGTTCATTCGATTTGAAGTGAACCTTCGTATCCCCAGAACTACTTTTGAATAAGTAATGAGTAATAAAATAATTTTGACATTTTCTGAAAACATACCGCATATTCTATAATTTCAGATTTCCATTTATGACTGCCGATGAGTTAACGCTTGTGGAACGTTCCCAGTTCGCTGAATCCTACCCAAAGCTCTTTCATCCGCAGATTTTGCTCGCCTATAAGTTCCAAGCCCTTCCTCTTTCGAGTCGTGTGAATTGCAAGTAAGTTGATTAAATAAAATTTTTACTATCGACTACTGTGAAATTCGAGCATTTGTGGAACATTTCAACTCGAAGTTGCTGAAAAGCATGCTATCATTCACTGTATCCTCAGAAAGATTTCATGTGAGATCCTTATATTGGCTCTCTCACCTCAATTCCAGCCTCCTGTTGAGTGGCACCCTCACACTGATCGTACGGGTTGAAGACTTCTAGAGCGCCTTGCTCTTCTCATTTATGGGCCATTAGGTTCAAGCTGTTATAGAAAAGGGTGTTGGTTGCTCTTTCATTCACGAAAATGGGATTACCTTCATCACCACATGCTTTCCATGACAAGCGGCCAGGTGGGAGTGGGGGCGAGGAAGTGATGGAACTGATTTCAGAAAACATTCCCTTCTACCGACTGCCCTCTGAGTTCCTTTTTTCACTACTGTACTGAATGAGTATGGGGTAGTAACAGTGGTGCCTAGCATGATCCCTGCGATTATACCCTTTACGGTTTCTGTTTCCACTGCTTGTCGACCAGTTACATATGTTTTGTGTAAGGTTCGTGCTCGAGAGTGCAACCCTAACTCCAGCTTCAATAAGTCTCGAGTGGCAGTTGAATGCATAGCGCGAATAGGCATTCAGGTGCCACCAGAATTACCCTTAGAAAACGAGCGCGTGGCTTATCGCTCCAAAAAGTTGTTCTGTGACGAGGTCCACTCTCACCATCCTTCATCTAAAGGGCCGGACAGCCTGGGGGCCTTCATCCTCTTTATAAGAATCACTGCACTTTGCCACCATAGGGAAATCTGCAGTCAGCCCAGCTTTCAAAAATCAAAGCATTACATTAAAACAGAGGAATAAATTTCATTTTTATGTTGTATTTTGTTTCAGAGAATTTTCCACAACACAATTCTTACTGCGAAATTACACGGATACACGATGGGATAAACGAATATCGATCTCCAATGAACAGCTTTATCAAAGAGGCGTTGATCACTCGTTCCAGGTCTTTTTTTCACTTAGACATTACAGCTTGGTCTTGTGAAGACGCAGAAGATGTCCATAGTATCCTTGCTGGTTCAGGCCAAGGGCGGGTCATGGTAATGATGACTTGCTCGGTAGAAGAATCCCCTTCCACCCCATGTCCAATACGAATCGCTCCAACCGAATGTCCATTCTGAATCAACATGATCTATCCTCCTTTTTGGCTCCTCCCTTTTATGAACAGCGCTGTCAGTCTGTGGAGTTGGGGGAGGCTGAGGGGGGGTAAGGTATTACCCCTTACATCGGTTGGGAGAGGGGGGAGTGAAGGTGTTACTCCTTTCACCGATACCTTTGAAACCTCTGTCGTTGCGCAGAAGTGGCGGTCTCCTCAGGGTGGAACCGATCAACGACCCTTTCACTGAGGATCCCTCAACCAGGACGTGCCCTGTTTAGACCGTGTTGTTCTTTTCGAAAGGCTGTTTAGTCCTCTGCGACTTCAAAAACAGAAAACTGTTGTCACACATCTCTCAACTGCCACTGATCCGTTACTTCTGTGAGAAAAGCATTACAGATTCGTACACGTTCCT